GGGGGGGGGGGGATACGCAAGTACCAAGAGCGATGTCCATGAATTGCTAAAACACGTCCGTGCCCTCCCGACACAGGGTGTTCCGACAATTGTCAGAGGCGTGACGCCGGAGGGGGGGGGTACGTAACAGCGGGGATATTCATTTAAACTGATTACAGCTACGTCCGTGTCGTCCAGATACAGGTGGCTCCAACAATGGTCAGAGGAGGAGGTAGGGGGGTACGTATGTACCAGAGCGATGTCATGAACTGACTACTACGCCCGTGTCCTCCCGACAGAGGAAGCTCTGACAATAGACAGAGCCGGGATACCGGAGGGGGGGGAGACTCGAAGTGCCAGATCGATGCCGACAATGTAAGTGACCCCGGCTATGCCCCAGAAAGGTACACACCGAAACTGGTGTTAGGACTGGCGCAACGAAAAAGGTACAGAGAGCAGGTGGTGTTCATGCTGTTCGGACACAAGCGGTGCCGCGGCTCCACACGCAAAGAGACACAAACACACTCACGGGGTCCCATATCATGACCTTTAGAAGCATGAGTATATGTTTTCAACCGCACTGAGACTTAAGCGTCTTTTCGTTGGCCAGCCCGTTGGCGTAGTCGACGCTAATTCAAAACACTTACACACACACAACCACACACCTGCACGTGAGCGACGAAGACCCCCTCAGAAGGGAAAGTACCACCCGCGATGATGGCGCCGATAACGCCCAACACGAGCCACGGCCAGTCTCCCTTGTTGAGCGACCACATGCGGCCCCTTGGTTGGCGAGGAGACCAGAAGCAGAGGTAGGTCCAGAGAGCGACAGGCGTCGACATCCGTTCGTTAGCGATTGATTGTTCATGGTCCAGGTGACTACAACTGTCGAGGGGCCTGCCCTACTCTCCAGACCCCGTATGGAACCCACCACATTCGGCGGGCCGCGCGCGTCCTTCTGATACATAATCGCTCATATGACTCGGGCACCCACGTGCATACCGTAGGGCATGACGTAAGACATCACACGCCTCTGTACCAATTTACAACGCTCGATTACTCCATGACGAAGAGGATGCGTAACCCAAAACGAACGGCTTTCGGAAAGCTCTCGATGCGACGGTTTCAACGCCGCCATCCTCAGCGCCCCCACTCATTTTGCTGCAGAGTAAGCAAGCTCTGAATATCGGTCCAGGGGGGGGGGGGTGTACTCATAGTCGTGCATGCCGTAGTCGTTTGATCATTGACCTCGCATCCCTTTAAAGCCGGGACGGAGCATGCCGGGTTCTCACCGGACCAGGCTCTCACATCACCAAGCGCGAAGCGCCGTGAGGTATTTGGCGAGTCGCATGAAGGGTGAGCTGCATCCTGCTAAGGGTGTTCGGCATCTTGTGCTTACTTCCTTGCGTACGGATGACAGCTACGTATGACTTAATTTATTTTCTGGTGCTTTCACTTCCAGAGACAGTTGTAAGCACTGTGTAACTGCCTCGAGTGTGCTTGACCATTTTAACACAACGTGGTGCGATCATCCCCCGTTGCGCGGAGTGAGGTTTCTCGACCCCGCACAACATGATCTACTCGACCACCATATGGTTACCGCCAAAAAAAAAACCAGAGGTAAAAAAATAAGACGGTAACCTGGTTGCCGAGTTCACGAAGTGGAATTGGCTTGTTTTACAACGTCGTTGCCAAGCGACGAAAACCCAATCCCGATGGCAAACACCGAGTGGGGGGCTTGTTTTACAACGTCGTTGCCAAGCGACGAAAACCAAAACCCCGATGGCAAACACCGGGGGGGGTTCTCACCGGACCAGGCTCTCACATCACCAAGCGCGAAGCGCCGTGAGGTATTTGGCGAGTCGCACGAAGGGTGAGCTGCATCCTGCTAAGGGTGTTCGGCATCTTGTGCTTACTTCCTTGCATACGAATGACAGCTGCGTATGACTTAATTTATTTTCTGGTGCTTTCACTTCCAGAGACAGTTGTAAGCACTGTGTAACTGCCTCGAGTGTGCTTGACCATTTTAACACAACGTGGTGCGATCATCCCCCGTTGCGCGGAGGGAGGTTTCTCGACCCCGCACAACATGATCTACTCGACCACCATTATGGTTACCGCAAAAAAAAAACGGTAACCTGGTTGCCGAGTTCACGAAGTGACTTGGCTTGTTTTACAACGTCTTTGCCAAGCGACGAAAACCCAATCCCGATGGCAAAACACCGGAGGGGGGTATCTTACGTCGGGGGTGTGGTATCTTACGTCAACGTCGGTACCAACGCCCGACAACTTAGCAGTACTGCTGTACCTGGGGTGGACAACGATGCGGAGGAATCGAGCGTTGAAAATCGGTCTACGGGGGGGGGGGTGGGGGGGTGTACCCCTAATCCTGCATGCCGTAATCCTTTGACCATTGACCTCGCATCCCTACCAAACCGGGACGGAACACGCCGGGTTCTCCCCGGAACAGGGTCTCACATCACCAAGCGCGAAGCGCCCTGAGGTATTCCGCGAGTCCCATGAAGGGGGAACTGCCTCCTGCTAAGGGTGTTCCGCATCCTGTGCTTACCTCCTTGCGTACGGAT